CGAGGCTGCGGTGGCCGGGAGCGGCCACTGCACTCCAGTCTGGCCCACAGAGTGAGACTCCAACTCAAAAAAAAAAAAAAATTAGCCGGGCATGGTAGCGTGCTCCTGTAGTTCCAGCTACTTGGAAGCTGAGGCGGAAGGATCACGGGAGCCCAGCGGATCGACGCTGGGGTGGCCATGAGTATGCCACTGCACTCCAGCCTGGGTGATGGAGTGAGACTCCAACTCAAGGAAAAAAAATAGAAAAAAAAGAAAGTTGCCTCCCATTATCTGCAAGATATTTAGCTTCTTAATCCAGAAATACACAGAAAGTAGTCTGTGAATTGCTGACCCTTATCTCTGTGAAAATTATTATTTGTGGAGTTCTTTTGCCTTTTTTTTTGAGTTGGAGTCTCACTCTGTCGCCCAGGCTGGAGTGCAGTGGCAGACTCACAGTCACTGCAATCTCGACCTGCTGGGCTCGGGCAATCCTTCCACTTCAGCCTTCCAAGTAACTGGAACTACAGGTGTGTTTCACCATGTCCAGCTAATTTTGTGATTTATTGTGGAGACAGGGTTTCACCAAGTTGTCCAGGTTGGTCTCGAACCTGTGGGCTCAGGCAATCCTCTCGCCTCCACCTTTCTCTGTGCTTTTAGTGCATTACCACATTTTAATCCTAAAAACAGTCCTACAGTCTAGGTACTGTTATGCCTCCTATTTTACAGATGAGGACATTGAGGCTCTCCAAGGTCCCATGATCAAATGATAGAGCCCGGATTGGAAGTCAGGCCAGCCTCGAGCTCACATTCTTATCTGCACTTTGAAAGGTCTTTGTGCCTGGCTTGAAGTAGATGCTCAAAGCATGTTTGCCCCCGTTCAGCCAGGTCTGCACAGCTCACAGCAGCCAGATAACCCAGGGCAGGGCAGAGGTGGTTTTGTTTTGCCATGTGACCCTCACACTCCCCTCGTCCTGCTAGGAGAATTCATGGAGAGCCTACAGGACCCAGACCTGAACGTGCGCCGTGCCACTCTGGTCTTCTTCAACTCAGCTGTGCACAACAAACCTTCGCTGGTCCGGGACCTGCTGGATGACATCCTTCCCCTCCTCTACCAGGAGACAAAGATCCGCCGGGACCTCATCCGAGAGGTGAGGAGTGGTGCCTGAAGCCTGGGGAATAGTCCTGCTCCTTGTGAGTTGCCTGCTCAGGAACTGGTATGATGCCACCTCTTGTGCTTCGCTCATAGGGCTGTGGCGAGGACCAGGGTAAGGTTCATCAAGCAGGTGCTGGGGCCACATGGCCTGGGTCCAGTCCTGCCCTCCACTTCCCAGCTGCGTGGCCCCAGCCAGGGTATCCTCAAGAGTAAAATGAAGACAGTAATCAGGTCTGCAAAGATTCAGCGAGTTACATCCTGTACATGCTCAGGACCGCTCCAGGCACAGAGCCAGCACTCAGTAAATGCTGACATTCAGCAGGTGTTCACTGAGCCAGGACATCATGTTGGACCTGACATGGTTTCTGTCACCAAGGAGCTCATCATAGCCTCCTAAAGGAGAGTGATGCCACTTGCAGACTGTAGACAGCCTTGATCAATAATGGTTCAACTTAACGACTTTTCACCTTTACTATGGTGTGAAAGCGATAGGCATTCAGTACACTCCTCAGCTTGTGATGGGGTTACATCTGGATAAACCCATTATAAGGTGAAAATATAAGTCGAAAATGCATAGCCCCATGGTAAGTCAAGGAGCATCTATATTTAATTTATTTAGAACCCACCTGGTGAAGTAAGGTTTTAAGGGGCAGAGATTAAAGATAATTTGGGTTTTTTTTGTTTTTTGTTTTGAGTTGGAGTTTCACTTTGTCACCCAGACTGGAGTGCAGTGGCCGCTCCCGGCCACCGCAGCCTCGACCTGCTGGGCTCCGGCGATCCTTCTGCCTCAGCCTTCCAAGTAGCTGGAACTACAGGCATGCACTACATGCCCAGCTAATTTTTTTTGATTTATTGTAGAGATGAGGTCTCGCCAAGTTGCCTGGGCGGGTCTCAAACCCGCAGGCTCAGGCAATTCACTCACCTCAGGCTTCCAAGGCGCTGGATTACAGGCTGAGCCACTGAACCCGGCTGGGCGGCCACTTTTCAACCTGGTTAGTTGCTCCGCAGTGGAGATAGGCGAGGTGAGATCAGGGAGGACAAGGGAAGAAAGGGCGAGATTCCAGAAGGACAAAGCTTGCTGGGACCTCTCCCGGTCAGGCCAGCGCTCTCCTTCACTGAAGGCTTGTCCAAGTGAGCAGAGGATCGTGTGGGTCCTGACTCCCAAGGTTGCCCATGACAGCTCTCTGTTGACAGCCTTCTTTGAAAACTGCTTCTACTGAAAGAAGTTAACTTGCCTCAAAAGACACCCCTTCTCAGTGCAAGCTGCCTCTGGTGAAGTCTCCTGCTCTGGAGGACCAGTCCAGCTTCATAGATCCCCATGGGTCAGCTGAGCCTTGTGGTTTTGCTTGTTTGTTTTGTTTTGTTTTGAGGCAGAATCTCACTCTGTCACCCAGGCTGGAGTGCACTGGTAGGATCACAGCTCACCATAGCCTCGACCTCCTGAGCTCAGGTGATCCTTCCACTTTCAGCCTTCCACGTAGCTGGGACTGCAGGCACATGCCACCATGCCTGGCTAGCTTTTTGATTTATTGTAGAGATGCGGTCTCGCCAAGTTGCCCAGGCTGGTCTCAAACCTGCAGGCTCAGGCAATCCTCTCATCTCAGTCTCTCAAAGTGCTGGGATTATAGGTGTGAGCCACTGTGCCCGGCCTACAAAAATTTTAAAAAATTAACTGAGCATGGTGGCACACACCTGTAGTTTCAGCTACTTGGGAGGCTGAGGCAGGCAGATTACCTGAGCCCAGGAGGTCAAAGCTGTGCTGAGCCTTGGTCATGCCAGTGGACTTCTGGGGGACAGAGTGAGACCCCAATCAAAAAAGAAAGTAAGAAATTAAATTTTAAAAAAAGAGGCCCAGCCGGGCTCGGTGGCTCAGCCTGTAATCCCGCGCTTTGGGAGGCTGAGGTGAGTGGATTATCTG